GCATGCCTTTAATCCCAGCAGCACTCGGGAGGTGGAGGCAGGCGGATCTCTGAGTTCGAGGCCAGCCTGGTCTACAAAGCAAGTTCTAGGACAGGCTCCAAAGCAATACAGAGAAACCCTGTCTCAAAAAATAAATAGATAGACAGACAGATAGATAGATAGATAGATAGATAGATAGATAGATAGATAGATAGATAAAAGTAAGTAAAAGAACCTGAGGGCTGGACCTAGTCACCTGCTCTGTAATTCAAGCTACACTGGAGGCCAAAACAGAAGAAATTAAAGTTCAAGGCCAGCCTGAGCTATACAGTAAATACATGGCCAGACTTGGAAATTTATCACTCTAAAGTATAGCTCAGGCCAGGCATGGTGGTGGATATCTTTTTTTATTTGTTTGTTCATTGTTTTTTTTTTTTTTCTGGACAGTTTTCTATGTGTAACAGCTCTGGCTGTCCTGGAACTTGCTTTGTAGATCAGGCCGGCCTTGAACTCACAGAGGTCTGGTAGAGGACACCTTTAATCCCAGCATTTGGGATGCAGAAGCAGGAGTATCTATGAGCTCAAAGCTAGCCTGGTCTATGCTATGAGTTCCAGGCCATCCTAGGAGATATTGTGAGACCCTGTCTCCAAATTAAAAAAAATAATAATAATAGTGTAGCTCAAAAGTAGAACACTTGCCTAACTTGCATTAGGTTCAGTCCCCAGAAACACATGTACATGCATGCGCACACACACTTTTCCTTTCAGCCTATAGAATGCACAGCCCTCCCTGAACCTTTCTCCCTGTCACACTCTCCCCTCTTGATGTCAACAGTTTCCATCTACCCTTCTTCTTGTAAGAGTTATTCTACACACATACTACTCACTTCACCTTCAACTCATGTGTTAGGTGCTTGTTATAAACTTAATACAATGATAAAAGCAGGAAACAACCTAAATAATTGACCATGTGGAACCTTTTAAAAGTTAAATCAGCAGCTTAGGAAATGGCTCATTGGGTAAGAATGCTTCCTGACTTCAAAACCCCCCATATCCATGTAAAAAAGGCAGGCCTGGCTGCACATACCTGCAACCCTAGCAATGCAGGAGGTGAAAGCAGGGATATACTGGAGTTTACTGGTTGCCAGCCTAACTCTGGGTTTATCTAGAGACCCTGTCTCTAAAGAATAAGGGATAGGGGGCTGGAGAGATGGTTCAGCAGTTAAGAGCACTGGCTATTCCTCCAAAGCTCCTGAATTCAATTCTTAGCAACCACATGGTAGCTCCCAACCATCTGTAATAAAATCCAGCTCCCACTTCTGGCCTGCAGGCATACATGCAGTCAGAACATTGTATACTTAATAAATAAATAAATAAGCAAATACATAAATAAATAGTTTTTAATAAAGAATGGTAGAACAAGACTCCCATTGATTTCTCTGGCCACCATGCACATCCTGGGTCACATGCTTCTACATATATGTACCACAACACACACCATACAATCAACTCTAATTTAGGAATTGCATCTGCTGTAGATATCAAAAACCTGGCTATGGTAGAAGCAGCTGTGCTATCTGAGACTGTATTATTCTATTGTTTCTGTCTTTTACACCTGTTTCTCCTACAGACCAAAGTGGCAACTATAATTCTAATCAGCATGTGTAAACTCCAGCAGGAAGAAAGACTGTACAAAGAAAATTGGACACAGGTCATTCACCAACTGTCTTTTTAGAGTCCAAAGGCTGACTCCAACATGCCTGTTTACATTCTGCCAGCACGGTTACCAAAGCAGAACACTGCTACTTTACCAAAGGAGAGGGAAATCAGACAAAGGTTATTCCTAGACCCAGGCTTTGCCCTGATTAGAAGTACACCATTGGCAAAGGGAAAACTCATTTGGTTTGAAAAGTTTTTCTGATTTTATATTTTGTTTCATTGAGTTGGAGGGAGGCTGTTAGGGTTCCTTGCAATCCCTGCCCAGTCCGTGTGCTTTTTAACTCAGTTTTTTGGCAGTGGTGGTGGTTGTTCTTGAGTCAGTCTTACTCTATAGCCCAGGCTATCCTGGAACTACTGTAGCCTAGGCTGGCCTCCAAATCTTAGAGATCCTCCTGTTTCAGCCTCCCAAGTTCAAGGATTACAGATGTGAGCCACCATGCCAGCCTTTGTTTTTGTTTCCTAAGAAGTTTCTCTGTGGAATCCTGCCTGGTCTGGAACTCGATATTGAGCAGGCTGGCCTCAAATGTGCAGGAAATCCCCCTGTCTAAGATTCCAGGCATCATATCCAGCTTGTAAGATCTTTTTTGTTTGTTTGTTTTGTTTTCAAGACAAAGTTTCTCTGTGTACCACTGGCTGTCCTAGAACTTACTTGGTAGACCAGACTGGCCTCAAACTCAGAGATCTGACAGGCTCTGCCTCATGAATGCTGTGCGCACTGCTGCCCAGCAAAGATCTGTTTTATAGAGATGCGGTCTTTTTTTTTTTTAAGATTCATTTATTAGGTATACATTGTTCTATCTGCATGGACAGAAGAGGGCACCAGATCTCATTATAGATGGTTGTGAGCCATCATGTGGTTGCTGGGAATTGAACTCAGGACCTCTGGAAGAGCTGCCAGTGCTCTTAACTACTCAGCCATCTCTCCATCCCTGAGGTGCTGTCTAAGTTCTTGCCAAGAGGTCAGTATAACTAACTGTCTTTAGTGTAGCCAGATAAGTTACATCTGAACAAACTGGTGCTTATTAATTATTCCTTAACAAAAGTGCCTTGTACATGGAGAGGCATGGGTTCTGACTGCTTGTTTAAATAAATTGTCCTTCAACTCGAATTATACCAAGTACACAAGAAATATCTTTATCCTTATATATGTTTGTTTACTTTAGGTAAGGACACAGACACAATCTAGGCCGTATTGATAGATGAAGATGTTGAAGGTTCTTATACACAAGAGCAATCTACAGTAAAGAATCTGACGTTGCCCTTGGCTTTTGGAAACCGAGTACCATAGCTGATAGTATTGGCTTCGGTGAAGACTCTGGGCGATATGGTATGAGTTGCATGGAAGCTGCGATCAACCACAGTTAGTCAGTCACTCAGAAAACTCTGAACATGGAAATGGGTGCGTTTCCTGATTGACACTGCTCCCTATATACTGCCACACCCTGAAGCTAGACCAATGTAGTCTTTCCAGGGGAGCACAATGTAACCTCTGCATCCAGAAACTTCCTAGACTCTGCCTTAGGCAACTCTTCCTTTGGTTGACTTTACCTATACCCTTTCTGTTCAATCACACATGGAACAGTTGTCAGCAAGTAGTATATGTGTTTCTTGTGGATTGCTGATGGTTTAGGGAAACTTCTGAACTTGCAGCTGGTATCAAAGATCAAGGCAGGGCTCAGCAGTAAAGGCACTTGCTGCTAACCTGAATGGTAGAAGGAAAGATCTCATTCCTAAAAACTGAAAAGCTGTCCTCTCTCTCTCTCTCTCTCTCTTTCACTCTCTTTCTCACACACACACTATGGTGTATATGTATGCACCCCTCAGTAAGTATTTACTTTTTTAAAAAGTATAGGCAGAAAAAAAAAAGTATAGGCAGTGTAGAGGACTGTACCATTGAGCTTTATGGCCTCAAGCTCCTCATAGAAGACTCAATGGAGGAGGCAGCATTGTGCTAGGTGGAATGTGCTAGAAAAAGAAGTAGGAAAGAGCAGGGAGAAATATTGTGTTAATAAGGGGCCCAAAGTGGACATTCTGTTTGAAGTGAGGGTCCCAGGAGCAAAAGGCACTCTTTTTGACTTCATTGTATTCATGCTCCTAGGAAGGCTGGCCGTGTTAGAACTCCATCTCCAACAGACTGAAGCAAGGTGAAGCCAGAATTTTAGAGAAAACATTTGTATATGCTGTGCCTTTCTTTAGATCAGTGGTTACTAATGACACTCACCTGAAGTTAAACAGCATCATTCCTAACAAGGATGAACACAGTTCCTCTGTAGGATACCAGAGAGAAGTAATATGTTTCAAACCAATAACAGGAATGGCTTCTAATGAGCTCCCTTTAGCCTGGTGCCATTCTAGACAAAAAGACAACCTCAGGAAAACAAAAAATCTCAACAGATAGGCAGGAATCTCAGGAGCTTGACTGAGTCCTGAAGAAGGAAACAGGATCTCAGGGGCCCTATTCTGATCACCCTGTCTTGTAAAAGTTACAGTCTTGTGCCAGTGAGATGGCTAAGTGGGGAAAGGCTCTGGTCCCCCAAGCCTGATAGTTTGGACTAAACCCCAGAGCTCACATAAAGATGGGAGGAGAGAAACTGTTGGAAATTGCCCTCTGAGCTTCAGAACCCTGCTGTGGCATGCACTTCCAGGGAGCAAGGCTGGATTTTGTACCCTTGTTCCTTTCTCTAAGTCCAGCCTCTGCTCACTGGGCTGTCTGCCATGATCACTGCAGAACATCCCAAATGAGCTGACAAACCAGGCTCTCTACAGAAGGCTAGGCATGTGGGGTAGAGGTTACCAATGAGTCAAAGGAAATGATGACATGACAGTGTTGAGACTCCTGTTGGAAAACCTTGTGACTCTTCTTGGCCCAGAATTCTAAGGTCAGTTATTGACCCTAACCATAGGAATGTTGTGTGGGCAGCTTGCCTGGTTGGGAGCAAAGAGCTATGTGTGTGTTGTATGTGATAAGCCTGGATTTCTAGCAGTTTTATGTTTATAAACCTTATTTATTTAGCTGAAATCTGAGCATGTGAAGGGTAGGTGCTCCTCAATGCTGATATAATTCCTCACAAAACTGAGCACACACCCACTGGGTCTCAAGAAGGTGGTGCACACCTTTAATTTCAGAACTCGGGAGACAGAGGCAGGAGGAACTCTAAATTTGAGGCCAGCCTGGTCGATACAGCAAGTTCCAGAATTGCCAGGGCTACACAGAAAAACCTTTTCTCAAAATAAATAAATAAATAAATAAATAAATAAATAAATAAATAAAATAAAAAATAAAGTGTACTTCTCTTTTTCAGTGAGTTTCCAGATGACCCAGGAGTGCAGTGGGACACCGAGTGTGTGGCCAGCACCCTCCTCCAATACATAGATGCCAATGGCATCAACTTGGTAAGGCAATGCCACTCTGAGTGGAAAGCCAGGGTCCCCATCCTGTCACACGGACTAGCTTCAGCTACTTTTCTTGTGGCTGCCTCCCACTCCCAGCCCTGATCCAAGCCCACTCTAAAAGGCTGTCTGCTAAACCCACTGAGGAGCAGACACACCTTCCAATATCCTTTGATCTTATGTGTGATCAAGTGAACAAGTTTTCAACCCTCAGGCCCAGAAGAGCATTTTCCAAACCATGTCCTGCTCCACCACCTTTCCCTGGCCTCCTAAAAATTCAGAACCTCAGGGACCCACAGGAGACTTTCATTGATCCAGAAAGTCTCATATCAAGTGGTTTCACAGTTACGGTATCATTCTTATTTGATCCAGAATGGGTGGTTTCCAGAGACATATAGGGATGTGCATGGGGTGGGGGAATCTGGGGATCTTACCCAGGCTTTGTGCATGATAAGCCCTAGGTCTAACAATGAGCTACATTCCCAATTCTGTGGCTATGGTGTTTAAGCCTCCATTTCAATTGTTTGAAACAGGATCTCACTGTGTAGACAAGGCTAGCCTTGAAATTCACATAGACCAAATTGCTTCTGCCTCTGCCTCTGAAGTCCTGGGATTAATCATGCCCAGCTAGCCTCCACTTATTTTTATATTATTTATTTATTTGGTTTTTTGAGATAGGGTTTCCACCTGTGTAGCCCTGGCTGTCCTGAAACTCACTCTGTAGTCCAGGCTGGTCTCAGATTCACAGAGATCTGCCTGCCTCTGCCTCCCAAGTGCTGGGATTAAAGGTGTGAGCCACCATCCCACACTAGCCCCCATTTCTGTTAGAAAAAAGAAATAAGGATTAAAAACCTGCTTCCATAGGGGTTGGGTTGGAGAGATGGCTCAGTGTTTAAGAGCACTGGCTGTTCTTCCAGAGGTCCTGAGTTCAAATCCCAGAAACCACCTCCTGGCCTGCAGGCATACAGAACGCTGTATGCATACTACATCTTAAAAAATAATAACCTGCTTATTTTTAAAAAAAAGTCATACTCACTTTATAAGGAAAATTTCAGTCACCATTAGATCAGTAATGGAAATTCACATTTGCTTGCAAAGGTGGACAAAGCCATCTCAGCTTTCTTAGGGTTGGCTCGGGTTTTGTTAAAAGACAGAGCCTGCTGGTTAGGAAGCTGATTGGACTTTTCATTCAGTCAATGACCCATTCGTTGAATGAATGGATACATCAGACCTTTTTTTTTTTTTTAAGATTCTTTTTCCCTTTTTGTGATTTGTATATGTGAGTATATGTGTGCCACATGTATGCAGGAGCTCATGGAGGACAGAAGAGGGTTGGGTCCCCTGAGACTAGAGTTACAGGTGGTTGTCTGGGTATCCAGGAAGAACAGTAAGCACTCTTAACCACCAAGCCATCTTTTTGCCTCTCAGCATCCTGCTTTCTTATGGCAGTGGCTTTCCAAGGACTAAGCCGATCCTAGTCCTCATCATAGTGTGTTAGAACTGTTGTTCATTACCACCCACTCCATTTGTAGGGGAAATTCTTCATTCCAAACTTGGAAGTCATGGCCTTTCTTGATCTGGCCCTTATGTCCGAACACAGGTGAATAGGTTTGTCCTCATTTTAGGGGCTGGGTATCTTTTACAGCAGCAGGGGGTGGGGAGGATTCTGAGCAGAGTGCAGGATTACAGGCATAAGCTACATGTCCCATTTTTTCCTTCTTCCTCCATCTTCAAATGAATCCTGTCAATTTCTGCTTCTTGCCATATGGCCTTTTCCTCGGACCCTTTTGTGCCCCCTTTTAAGGACCACTGTGATTACATTGAGCCCACCAGCCCATGCAGAATAATCTCTCCATCTTTAAATCCTTAATAACACTGCAAAATCCCTTTTGCTACTCGAAGTAACGAGTCAGGTTCCAGGGAAACAGGACATGTGTAGCAAATGCGTATTAAGTCCACAGAGCAGCTGTACTCTCCACAGCCTTCATTCACACGGGATGGGAGGATCCAATAACCATCCTAGTGATGACTTTTTACAGGTCCTAAGTTTCACACTGGTTGAGTCTAGAGATTTGCTGGTGGCTATGGGGAAACACAAATATGTTATTTTAGTAGTAAAACCCACTTCTGATGCCTGGCCCTAGAAAAAATTCCTGAAAAGAGCAACCAACTCCAGGGAGCACTTTGAGTCTTTCTTCTTCTTCTCCTCCTCCTCTTCCTATTTCTTTCTTTCTTTCTTTTGTTTTTTGAGACAGGGTTTCTCTGTGTAATAGTCCTGGCTGTCCTGGAATTCCCTTTGTAGACCGGGCTGGCCTCAAACTCATTGAAATCCCACTGCTTCTAACTCTCAAATGCTGCCATTAAAGGCATATGCCACCACCGATGAGCACAGGGATACTTTGTGATGATGGTTTGAGACCAATCAATGGGAGGAGGAGGATGGCAGAAATCTTCTGAGCTTCAGGGCTGGGGTTCTAACCCAGTGTGTGAGTGCTTGCCTAGTATGCCAGGTGCCCTGAATTCCAGCAATGCAAAAACCAAGAAAGAAAGAAAACTGCTTCTTAGTCTTAGCAAAGGGGAACATTTATCTGGGCCATAAAGCCCTTCTTCTTGTCATCATGAGACTGTCTAGGAATGCCCTGAATGGCACTAATGCTCCATGCTGCTCCTGAAGAAGGAGACCCAGCTATCATGATAGCCAAGGCCTATCCAGTGTAAAAAGAAAAACCAAGCCTGGTGTATTGGTACAGGTCTGTAATCTCATCACCTGGGAGGTAGAGGCAGAGAGACCAGGAGTTTATGGCCAGCTTCAACGACACAGAGTTCAAGGCAAGGCTGGGGTACTTGAGATATCTCAAAAGAAAAAAAAAATCATAATCCCAAAAGAAACAGAGCAAGAGTGAATCTTTCCCCAGGTTACCCTAATTCCAGTTCTAACCCCTTCAATGGTGCAAGGACGCTTTCTGTCCTTGGGGACAGCCCTTCTCTTTCTATCACTCTTTAACCAGCCATCCCTAGTCCCTTTCCTGAATCCTTGTTTTCTTGTTTTTTCTATGATTCATATTGAAGGCACCGTGCAGATGGAACCAGAAGCAGCCTAAGTCAGACAGACTTCTGTGAGCTTGACCCCGGGACGTTGTAGTTGTGGTATGGCATGAGGAAAGGAACCCCAGTGAATCAGGCTGCATCCACCGAAAAAATTCCTAGGCAGCAGCCAGCCAATGAGTGTGCTAGTAAGTGGCCAGGCAGATAAGAAACAAATACCTATTGAGACAAGTTTTCATGTGTCCCAGACTAGCCTCAAACTTACTGTGGCTCAAAGATGACCCTAAATTTCTGAGTCTCGTGCCTCTCTCTCCCAGGAACTGGGTTTACATATACCCACCCTCACAGCAAGCTTATGCAGTGCTAATTTACAAACCCTCCCTGGTCTTCATGCTTGCTAGGCAAGTTCTGCCAACTAAGCCACATCCCCAGCTTACAGCAAAGGTATCCCGAGCCTCAGAGACATCACAGTCAGTAATGAATTGCCTTGCAAGCATGAGGACTTGAGTTTGATCTCCAGAGCCCATGTTGGCAACACAAAAGCCAGGCCTGGTGCTGTGTGTTTATGATCCCAGCACTGGGGAAATAGAGACAGGCAGATCCCTAGGGCTCCCTGGCCTGCCAGACTAGCTTGATCAGCAAGCTCCAGGCAAGTGAGAGAGACCCTGTCTCAAAAACAAAGCAGACAGTTCCCGGGGAGCAGCACCTGCAGTTCTTCTCTGGTCTCCAAGGGGCACACACTTGCACACACACAAAGATTCTGAACACAAGTTTCTGTCGTGGGGCAGATCACACTCTGCTCTATCTACTGCCAGGAACAAGTGTGAACCACACACCGACAGTCACCGCACATAGCTCTGTCTGCTCGGGCTACTTCAGCTGCTCACAATTTGATAAATTTCAGGTTCCTACGGACGCAGGCCTTTAATCCCAGCACTCAGGAGGCAGAAGCAGGCAGATCTCTGTGAGTTTGAGGCCAGCTTGGTCTACAGAGTGAATTCCAGGACAGCCAGGGCCGTTACACAGAGAAACCCTGTCTCTAAAAACAAAAACAAGCCCCCCCCAAAAGAGAGAGATTCAGGTTCCGATCTTTCCTTCTGCACAGGAACGGTGAGGGCCCCTTTAAAGTGAGGCAGTGGAGAAACCATTCAACAGCTCTGAGTGAGCCCTTCCTCCTGGGTCTGTCCTACAGGTGGTGACTTTTGATGCAGAAGGAGTCAGTGGTCACAGCAACCATATTGCTTTGCACAAAGCTGTGAGGTATGCTTCTGTGGGCGATGGAAGTGGGAAAGGTTTCTCCATTTGTCCCAGGGTCACAGTCACTAAAACACCTTCCCTGCCTGTTTTCTGAGCCCCAGAAAAGGTCCTCTTTTGTCACCATGCAGGCATTGTTGCCCTATTGCTCACCTCTCCATGTCTTGTTTTTATTTTAACATGTACGCTGTTTGCCTTCATGTATGCCTGAGTAACATGCCTTGTCCACAGAGGCCAGATGTTGTCAGATCCCTCAGGGACTAGAGTTTCAGGTGGTTGTGAGCCTTTGTGTGGGTGCTGGGAATTGAACCTGGGTCATCTGGAAGAATAGCCAGTGCTGTAAACCATCTCCCCAGCCCCACATCCTCTTTATGAGAACTCCCACAAGTCTTAGTAGAAGAAGAAATGACTGTCTCCTAAATTTTTTATTTTTTAGGGTTTTTATTTTCAAATTTTATTTATTTATTGAGTATTGTATAGACATATTGTGTTTTCTAAATGTTTTTATTTGCCTAGCAAAGAGGTGGTGGCTCATGTCTTTAATCCCAGTACTAGGAGGCAGAGGCAGTCGGATCTCTGAGAGTTCAAGGCCAGCCTGGCTTACATAGTGTAGCCCAGGGTGACAGAAAGAAACCCTGACTTGAAATAACAAAACAAAATTTTTATTGGTCTACATTAAATATACATGATAGTGGGTTTCTCATAATTTTCAGACATGTGTATGATATGTTTTGATCATATTCATTCTCCATTGTTCTCTATTTCCCTTCCCTAGGATAAGTGACTGACTGTCCTTCCTTCCTCTGTGTGTGTGTGTGTGTGTGTCTGTGTGTCTGTGTGTCTCTGTGTGTTGTGTTCCATTAGGGTGCTTACAGGAGCATGGGAAAGAGGGCATTTACAGGAGCTCATGCACCTTACCAATGGCTACACCACTGAAGAAAATGTTTCTCCTGCCCCAGCAGTCATTAACTACCTATAGACCCTTGGGGAGGGGTGGTGGGGGTTTATATTCATTTCTATTGTTGTTTGGTTTTGTTTTTGAAACAGGGTCTTACTATGTAGTTCTGGCTGGTCTAGAACTTACTATGTAGACCAGGCTGGCCTCAAACTTACAATGAACCTCAGGTCTGTGCTTCTTGATGCTGGGATTACAAGTATGTACCTGTCCAGCTTAACAGTTGAGTTCTACTTTTGCCCCCTGGATACAAATGGGGAAACTGATTCTATTTCCCTTTTTACTTTGGCCACGGAAACTTGACAGGCCAGATCCTCAGCCCTCTAAGCGAACGAAGGAGACTCCAGGAGTGAGACCTGTGGACCAGCACACCCAGTTTTCGTGTCTTCATCCCTCCTCCTCATTGATGTTCTGTTAAGTTTCTCCTAAGCTGTTCCCAGGCTTTTGCTTTGTTTTGGTTTTTGGAGGAAGATGATGATGTGCATAATATGACATCCCAAATGTCTGCCTGTTAACATGCCTATTGTCCTAGCATTTGGGAGACTGTGGCAGGATGGTCTTGGCATCAGGCATTCTAAGCCAAAAGCAAGACTTTCTCAAAAAAAAAAAAAAAAAAAAAAAAAAAAAAAAAAAACCCTATATTTTCCAGCACCATCCTATTTTATTGACATTTGTGTTCATATTACCAGTAAAACCAAAATGGAGCCTCAACAATGGTGCCTGACCTAGGTCAAACCAGCAAATGTGTTCCTTATCCTCCAGCGAATACTTATGCAGAGTGCAGGTCTTGTCCTAGCTACTGAGGAAGGAAAGGGGCACTGGGAAGTCTTGCTTTCCTGCTTCCAAACATGCTCACCACTCTGTCTGAAGCGTTCAACATTATGAAGTTGGAAATGACTTCACTGGTCATGGAGTGCAACCATCTCATTTAATTGGCAGAGAGGAGGATTGCCTAATGCAAGACTCAACTCTCAACAGTAGCGGAGACAGGACTAGAACTCAATCATCTTGCATCTCCCTTCACTAGGTGCCTCCTCTGGATGCACATGAAGGCAGACCCAACTTGATGGCTCCCAGCCTCATCTTTAATTGTATGCAACTTTGGAAAATACTCGAAATTAGTACTCATATTTTCTTCCCAGACAGTTAATCCTGATTTTTTTTTTTTTTTGAGGCCACACTTTTCTCTTGTAAAAAAAATCATTCATTTCCTGGCCCAACAGAGGCCATGGATACAGCTCTGTGGTAACAGCTACATTAGGTTCATTCATAGCTAAGAAAGCCATACCACAGATTTCAATAGAAGATGGAATTTTTCAGTGAAGATACACAAAAAAGTATACATCCCGGGAATGGATGTTAGCCAAAGTGGAAAGCAAGCCATTGTTGGGTAGGAACACCGGCTCCACTTCATTCCAGGTCCACACAGAGCCATATATTTGTACCCAAGTATTCACCAGAAAAATGGTCAGGTCGGGCAGGGCACCTGAGTGGGACTTGGTTAGTTCCATCCGTGCCTGTGGTGTTTGTTTTTTGTCAACTTGACGCAGGCTGGAGTCATCTGGGAAGGTTTAAAAAAGGTCTCCATCAGATTGGCCTGTAGGAAAGCCTGTGGGGCATTTTCCTCATTGATGATTGGTGTAGGACATCCCAGCCCACTGTGGGTGGTGCCCCCTATGGCAGGTGGTCCTGGGGTGTGCAAGAAAGCAGGCTGAGCAAGCCAAAAGTAGCAAGACCAGTAAGCAGTGCCCCCCCCCATGCCCTCTGCTTCAGTCCCCGCCTCTGGGGTCCTGTTTGAGGGCTTTTTGTTTGGTTGGTTGGTTTTGTTTTTTGAGACAGGGTTTCTTTGTGTAACAGCCCTGGCTATCCTGGAACTCACTCTGTAGACCAGGCTAGCCTCAAACTCACAGAGATCCACCTGCCTCTGCCTCCTGAGTGCTGGGATTATAAGTCACCATCACCACTGCCCAGCCCTGCTTGAGTTCTTGACCTGAGTGATAGTGATCTGGGAGTTTTTAGATGAAATAAACTTTTCCTCCCAAAGTTGCTTTTGGTCATGGTTTTTATCACAGCAACAGAAAGCAAACCAGGACACTAGTTAACACTGAAATGGGGCATAGGGAGGGAACTTAAGGGCACAGCTTTCTGCAAACAGGCCTCCTGCAGTTGGCATTTCTTCAGATGCAGGAGTGCCATGGGCTCTCAGTTGATGAATCCTCTCTGCTCCAATGTGGCTCCGCACTCCAGATAAAGCAACAACACGCAGGCATGCTGACCAGCTACACCCTCCTCCTGTCTGCTACACCCATCAGACTTCACCTTTCTTTGTCTTCACCTGCCGTTGCCCTTCTGTGGTATTTGTCCCTGCCACTCATCAAAATGCTGCTTTGACATTGACTTGCTGACACTGGCTGATGTTCCCAGGTAACACTGGTCATCTCTCAGTCTCTTCCTGTCTTCCTTCCCACCCGAGGTCCCTCGGTGTCCCTGTTCCCAGGGCTCCCTTCCCAGCCCCACTCAGTAAAGTTCTTCAAGGGTTGTGAGGGCTGTGAATGTGATTCCCGCATGTGGTCCTCCAATGCTCACTCACCTTTGTACCGGTGCATCTGCCTCCAAGTCAGACTGTCCCCAGGCTCTGCCCAGAGTGCAGAATCCCAGAAACCTCTTTCAGGGTTTTCTGCTTCTTAGGGTCCCCATGCATTTATCAACTCTCTTTTGACTCCTTCACTTTGACCCCTAGCCCTGAGCCCTTGTGTGTGTGTGTGTGTGTGTGTGTGTGTGTGTGTGTGTGTGTGTGTCTCCATCTGTGTCCCCTGTTCTGATACCAAAGCCAGGAAGCAATCCAGAGATGACTGGTGTTGGTGTTGGATTTACTGTGCCCCTCTTTGCAGTAGTAAACTCAGAACAACTTTTACTGTCAGACAATGGGAGTGAGGGGGTCACTAGGGGAGAAATACCAATTAACCTGTTCAAACATTCTTTCACCATACTCACATGATATATATTTTTTTTTCCTGAGACAGGGTTTCTTTGTGTAATAGCTCTGATGCCTTTGCCACCTGAGTGTGTAATTTCTTTCTTTGTTTCTTTTTGTTTTTTCAAGACATTTTTTTCTGCATAGCCCTGGATGTCCTGGGACTCACTATGTAGACTACTCTGATCTTAAACTCAGAGATCTTCCTGCCTCTGACTCCTGAGTGCTGGGATTAAAGGCGTGCACCACCAAGCCCAATTAACTCATGTTATAATTTCAAGAGAAAATATTTGAGGATAGTTACCCTCATCTCTAATGAGTAAAACTTGGGTCAGATTGTTCCTTAAGCCATACAGCAGCTTCTGGACTAAGCTGAGTGGGAAAGAAATGCCCATTCTGGTCCCCTCAGCAATAGCCAGGGGTGTGGAATCCTGTATATTTAGATGTTGGTTTATACAACAGAAACCGCAGGGAGCCTTTGTGTTTGGTTGGGACACGGCCACACAGGCCTTGCTCTGAAGGTTCCTCTTGTTAACACAGAAGAGTAGGTGACTCGTGCCCTCTCTAATGTTTGTCTTCTCCACCTTCCAGGGCCCTACACTCAGGAGGGAAGCTGCCTAATGGTAAGGAAGGCCTGGTTTTATTGCAAATAGACAACAGTTACTATCCCTTTAAGAAATTTGCCAAGGAAATTTACAAGTATTGTCAGAAATCTATGGATTTCTATGTATCTGTCGATTTCACAACCTGGGATCAAAATTATTCAAGGAGATGCTGGAGACATGGCTACCCAATTAAGAGTATTTACTAGCTTTACAGAAGACTTGGGTTCATTTCCCTGCATCCATATCAGGCATCCAGGCATCCAGTTCCCGGGACACCAGACACAAATGTGGTGCACATAAACTCATGCAAACAAACACAGACACACACACACACACACACACACACACACGGAAAAAAGGGCATCTGTACTGAACATGCAGATTCTTTTCTCCTCATTGGACCCTAGTGTTAGTACTCAGGCATCAGTACTGGCCTGCCCTTAGGGTTCTGACAGGATATGCCCTCAGCTGCAGCCACTAAGAGCACTACTTGTGCACATTCACTATGTTCCCTTTGAAAGGGCCCTGCCTGCCTTTCATCCTTCTCTCTATTTCCCTGTCTGTTCCCCTTCTCTTTCTCCCTTTCCCTGCCTCTCTCTCTCCCCCTCTTTTCTTTCTCCTCTCTCCTTCTGTCTCTGGAAGCCAGTCTGCCCCCTTCCCTTTCCCCTTTTTATGATCCCTTTCCCTAATAAAAACTCCTCTGCTTGAACCCTGTTGCATGGCATCTTTCTCTCGAACACCACTTTTCTTAAATTACAACACCTAGACAATTAGATCTAGCAACTATTTCCATGGCATTTACCTTATATCAGGGATTATAAGTAACCTAGAAGTGATCTAACATATACAAGAGGGTGTGAATAGGCTCTATGTAAATCTTGTGTCATTTAATAGAAGAGACTTGAGCATCCATTGAAGTATCGCTGCAGACTGAAGGGCACCTCTACACAGAGCAGCCCTAGACTGTGCAAGTGTTGGGAGGTGGGCCACTCTCCCTGACTCAGGCAGGTGTGTGTGACAGGTTCAGACTGTATCACTACCAAGTGTTCTATGTGGTTTCCTCCCAGAGAAGGTAGCGCTTTTCCACTCCTGGCATTTTGTTAGTCTGCACAAACTCACCTCCCACCACCCACTTAATTAGGGTGTTATAAGTGCCTCACAAGTTCCTTATAAATTGATGACTTTGAAATAGTAACACTTTCAGGGGCTGGAGAGATGGCTCAGCAGTTAAGAGCACTGGCTGCTCTTCCAGAGGTCCTGAGTTCAATTCTCAGCATCCACAACCATTAATACTGAGATATGATGCCCTCATCTGGCTTGCAAGCATATGTGTAGACAGAACACTCATACATAAAACAAACAAAAAACACAAAATAAATAATTTTTTTAAAAAAAGGGAAGAAATAGTAACACTTTCTAAACCCCTCTGAAGCACAGGGCCCCACCAGCCATTCACTGCCTGAGAGGCATAGGACCACACTGACCATTCACTGCCTGGGAGGCATGGGACCACACTGGCCATTCACTGCCTGAGAGGCATAGGACCACACTGGCCATTCACTGCCTGGGAGGCATGGGACCACACTGGCCATTCACTGCCTTCTCTGAGCAAGTTCTGGCCTGGCCTGCCTGCCTCACCAGGGCGACACGAGATCTAACAGTGAAACATAAGTGATGTGTGCTGTCTTCACAGGCTGTGAGGTCTTAGGAGCACAGGTGTGTCCCCCTTGTGAGACGGGCAGGCTCTACACTATCAACACTACTTTAGCGACTAGGAAGCTAAAATCCAGGGCAGTTAAGGGACTTTCCACACCAATTTTTTTTTTTTCAGAGACAGGTTCTCACCCTGAAGCCCAGGCTTACCTCAAACTTGCTATGTAACCCAGGCTTGCCTCTGACTCATGGCAGTCCACCTGTCTCTGACTTCCAAGTACTGGGATTACTGGTGAATACCACCACACCCAGCACCTCATGTCAGAGCAAAGCTGAAATGAGTCTTTGGCCTCCTGACTCAGAAATTCCTGTCTCCATCATCTTCTCTCCACCCTCCAGCAGTCCCCTTCCTCTTACAGTGACACTGACACAATGGGTGGGGAGCTTCTGTGGCCCTGCCACTCTTCCCATGTGGGGGAATACTGTCAAAGAGCAGGTCAGGTGCCACAAGGTACCTAGCAGCCGGAGAGCAACTGCTCTGCCCTCCGTGAGCCACCTGAAGAGGGAGGTTGCTCATGGCTGAGAGCAACCACGTGATGCCATCTGCCACCCCTCCTCGCCCAGGGTGCTCTGTACTCACTCTGCAGTCTGTGAATATGCTACGGAAGTACCTCTACCCCCTGGATCTGCTCTGGTCTCTACTCTCGCCCCAGGATGTCCTCTTCATGCTCACCAGCAAAGAAGTGGCACAGGCCAAGGTAAGGACTGTACTTCCTGGACACTTCGCTGCGGACCCAGCCTCAGGATCCCTTGGCTCCTCAAAGCCCTGCCACCTGCAAAGCCCCCTGCACAGGGACAAGGCCTGCTCTGCTTGCTAGACTATTTCAGCTACGCCTCACAGGCATACATTTTCAATCACGGGCTTTTTTTTTTTTTTTTTTTTTGATTATAAAAACTTTAAATAAATGGCACATGTTCATTTTAGGAAACTCAGAAATACATAACAGTATCAGTAAAATAAAAAAAAAATGAGGGACTGGAGAGATAGTTCCGTGGTTAGGAGCACTTGATGCTCTTACAGGGGACCTGGGTTCAGTTCCCTGCACCCACACTGAGCAGCCCATAACCATCTGAGACTCCAGTTCCAGGGGATCTGTCACCTTCTTCTGGCCTCCATGGGCACTGTACATAAGGGGTGCACATACATGTACTCAAGCACACACATACATATAAAATAAACCTTTTGTTTTAAAGCTGGCAGTGGGTCAGGTGACTCATTAGAGTTGGGGTGGGGGACTGTGAGTTGATGTGCCCTGCTCTGATGAGAAGGGAAAATGTAACAATAACAGCTGGAGAGGAAGTTTCCATCTTTGGTCCTCTCTGATTTTTTTCCAGAAAGCCATGTCCTGCCACCACAGTCAGCTCCTCTGGTTCCGCCGACTCTACATCGCCTTCTCTAGATACTTGAGAGTCAACTCACTGCAGTTCCTCTGAAGCCAAGAAGAATTTTCAGATCTTCAGAGCAAAAGAGAGAAACAAACCAAGAAGTCCCTGGGCTTGACTTTGGGCTGGCTCATCTCTTTATCCCCAGGGCTACAGGTCCCAATAAAGCAGCCTTTGACACAAAAACTGCACCAACACAATAATAGCTACCTCACTAATTTACCAGTTCTTGTGAAAAATAGTAGCATGATAACAGAATGTATATCAAACATCTAGCCAAGCCTGGGCAGGTTGCCTTTACCGTAATTGAATGTAAAGGTGCCTTAAAAATAGTCCCCAGATGGGATTTTTACATTGCTTCCAAAGTAGGCTGTTTTGGTCAGTCTTCTGTTTCTGTGACAAGGGTTTCTGTAGACTTGAGGTTTACTTAGCTCACATTTCTGCAGGCTGCAGAGTCTAAGAGCATGGCAGCCTCTGCATCACAGCTGGGGGGGGGGGCTTCTCAAAGACAAAGGCAGTCACTGGGACATAGAGCAAGTGAGCCAGAGAGCACTCCTTTAGAACAAAGCCACACCTACATGTGACCCAGTCACCTGCAAAAGGTCTCATCTCCCAACACCACCACCAGCGTGAGTTCTGTGGACATGGCCAAACCATGACACAGGTTACACACACACACACACACACACACACACACACACACACACACACACACAGAGAGAGAGAGAGAGAGAGAGAGAGAGAGAAACCAGGTGGTTCAACCATACTTCCTTGGGTTTTGTTTGTTTGTTTGCGGCCTGCTTCCCAGAACTTTAGTCTAGGAAAGCTGTACTTTATCACCGTGGTACTGATGTGTGTCCTCCCTTTGAGAAGCCAATAAACATCTTGGTTCTCTGCCTTTTGAAAGTAGGAGCTGTGCAAATACCTTTAATCCAAGAACTGGGGAGGCAGAGGCAGGTGGATCTCTGTGAGTTCAAGTTTCAGGACAGCCAGAGCTTTGGAGATAGTCTGTCTCCTGTCTTGAAAAGGAAAAAGTAGGAAACAGAGAAAAGACAAACCTGGAACTGTTTTTTAAGCACTGAAGAATCTGATGTCAACAGGGTTAGTGGTGGTGCACACCTTTATTTAATCCCAGAACTGGGGAGGCAGAGCTGGGTGGATCTCTGAGTTTGAGGACAGCCTGGTCTACAGAGCCAGTTCTAGGACAGCCAGGACTACATAGAGAAACCCTGTCTCAAAATACAAACAAACAAAAAAAGAATCTGCTGTAGCCAAGCACAGTGGCACATATCTAAAACTCCAGCATTCAGCAGGCAGACAGAATTACTGGAAATGTGAGGGCAGCTGTGACTACATGTGAAAATGCCATAATGAAGCCATTAATTAATATGCTAACTTAAGAGTAATTAAAATGCATACATATGCATATATACAGTATTGAAAGATCTTTGTTGGGTTTAAGAGGGCACTGAGATGGACTGTCCTGTGGGTAGGAAATTTATTAGAAGAGTTATTAACACTATGGGCAGACAGACATGAGAACTTGTCCCAAAAAACACAAAACAAAACAAAGACATAAAAACCACTATTCTAAGCCAGACATGACCATGCACACCTTTAATCCCAGCACTGGTGGATCTCTGTGCATTCCAGCCACTGTGTAGCTGACTCAGAGAGTCAGCCAATGCTATACAGTGAGAGTCTCAAAAAACAAACACAGCCTGGGCATGGTGGCACACACCTTTAATTCAGGAGAAGCAGGTGGATCTCTGTATGAGGCCAGCCTGGTCTATATAGTGAGTTCCAAGACAGCACATCTCAAATAAACAAATTATAGATATCCCAATAGGATAGAGTATCATAAAACTGTTTTTAAATAAAGCAATATATCCACAAGTAAAAATCTATCAGGCACATTACATGATGAAATCAAGATGATGAGCAAATAATTTCCCTAACCTATTTTGTTTGGGGGGGAAAATGTGTTTCTATACCCATATGTGTAAGTAAGCAGAGGCTGCTCCTGCCTATGGAGCATGTCTCTGAAGAAGATTCCTTTTGTATTGTGTTCCTGAAAAGAAAAATGCTTTATAATGATCCCTCTGCAAGGCTGATTAACTGACGAGCAGTGATGCAGAGAGGTTGAAAGACTCCATGTCCAGAACTGAGTTATCTTGGGGCATTTTTAGATACTGTAATAGGAGACAGAGGTAGGAAGATCAAGTTCTAGGACACCTATGACAACATAGAGAAACCCTATCTCAAAAAAATAAAAAGTCCATCCCAGGGGCCAAACAGCCAGTTGTTAGATTACATGCTAACCAGACTAGGCAGAAGCCCCTGAGGCCTGGAACAGATGTCAAAATTCTCATCTCTCCAGCCCCTCCCTTACACCTTTCACAGGATCTAGCATGTTAAGGGGAATGGAAGAGAGAAACTGCAAAGAGGGGATAAAATATGAAAGTAGAAGAAAATGCAGGTAAATACAGAGAGAGACCTTAGTAAGAAAATATTCTTGGGCCTGGAGGAATGGCTCAGCAGTTAATGCTCTTGTCCCAGAACCTGCACCTCCAGTTCCAGGGGATCTGCCACCCTCTTCTGACCTCTACAGACACTGCATATAAGTAGAGGACATAAAACACACGGGCAAACGTTCATATAAAATGAAATCTTTTTAAGATTTAAAGTTAGAGCTGGGTGTGGTGGTGCAAGCCTTTAGTCCCAGAACTTGGGAGAAAGTGGCACATGGCTCTCTGAGTTTGAGGCCAGACTAGTCTACAGATCAAGTTCCAGGACAGCCAGGATGTCACAGAGAAACCCTGTCTTGAAACAAACAAACAAGTTTAGTGGCTCAACAGTTAAAAGTCCTGGCCATCCTGGAACTCTCTCTGAAGACCAGGCTGGCCTCCAACTCACAGAGCTCTGCCTACCTCTGCCTCCTGAGTACTGAGATTAAAGATGTGTGCCACCACTGCCAGGCTACTTAACTATTTTAAATATTAGAGTTTCTGGAAAATATTAAGTATTTAATAAACATGTGTATTACATTAAACAGTTTGCACAACAGGCTGGCTGTATTTGTCTTGTTCAAAGCTGCTTTCAGTTTCTTAATACCTTTATAGTAAAGGCCAAACTTATGATACTAAAACCTCAGTCAGTGACTATCCAAATCTTCCTCTTTTGATGTCGGTTTTTTATTTTTGATGTAAATGTGTGGTATGTGCATATGTGTAATCTGTGCTGTATTCCCATGTGTGGTTAAGATGCTACATTTTATGTTACACCTATCTGACCACAAAGAGAGAAGTGGTCAATGCTGTTGCCTAGCATGCATGTATCCCTGGCTGCTAACCACAGCAAGTGACAACAGAAAATCAAAACAAACAAGGAAGCTGGCTTACCTTATTTAAAAAACAGGCACATTAGTAGTGCATGCTTATAACCTAGCATGCAGTAGGCCGAGGCAGAAGTGTTGAGTCGGGTCAGCCTGGGCTACATAATGAAACCATCAAAAAGGCGGGAGAGCGCCACCAACAAAGAGCCCACCATGATGCCATGATGACACAAATAAACAAATACATGGATAAGAGATAACTAAAAGTTCAAGGCCAGCGCGCTCAGGCCTGTGCCCCATGAGCACCAACCGGGAGTCCACATCCTCACAACTCACACGGACGGCTGTCACTCAGTCTTCTGGTCGTAACTGCTGTTCTCTTACCTCTTCTCAGTTTGGCTGCAGGTGTTTTAGTGGTGCTCACAATTTTAGTCTGCGGTTAAGTGACAGGACACAGAGGCAAAAGTCAAAGTTCACACGAATGAGGGATCACAGTAATAGCATTAATGTCAGAAATGTTTATTCTCTAAAAGATCACACAAAAGTCTGTGGGAAGGGAGAAGGCCAACCGTCTTACATGAAGTCTGGGCTAAGGGCGGAGCTGCCTAAAGGAATGGTGGCAAACTGCAGGGACACTGGGAGTGGAGATGGTGGCCCAGGTCTGCGCAGCAACTGCTTGCTCCCTCTTGGGAAGGAGGAAGCATGAGCTCACTCTTTTGACATGTTCTTGATGGTCTTATGCTCCTTCATGGCTCTCTCCCAGTCACTGCCATTGAATTCCTCAGTGACCACACTCCGAACAGTGCCTTCATCGAGGCAGTGGGGGGCAATTCCTAGGGGCAAGTGGAACAGAGAGAGGGCCAAGTGTGAGTGAGACCAGAGAGAACGTTTCAGACAGGCCCTCACCTTTATCCCACAGGTGAGCTATCTGAGTGGCATGCCTCGGCTTATGAGGCTGTGTGGCCTGTTGACATACCAAGAAGGTTCTAGCTCGGCCTATGCCTTCGGCCTTCTGGTCCTCACCTGTCATGTGAAGGTCAGATACCCTGAATGATGGTCAGCCAAAATCTCTGAGGCCTGGGACATAGCTCAGTGATAGAGCACTTGCTGATATGGTCAATCCCCAGCGCAAGGGGAAGGGATGAGGGTGGGGTGGGATGGGGCTGAATGCAGAAAGTATTAGGAAGGTTCAGGCCCGGCCCAATTCTCAGGACTTTCCTGGGGTTAGATAGATAAAGAATTAAAGACTTCCCAGTTTATACAGGACTTTGTACTATTAAAACCTCCTGAGCAGGCATGGTGGCACATGCGTTGATCTCATCAATCAGGCGGCAGAAGTGAGGCCTGCCAGGAGGCTAGCCTGGACTACAGTAAAGACAGTCTCAAAACTAATGCAAAACAACCCCACAAAAAAACCCTTTCTTGTTTCAAGATCACCAGGATTTGGCAGACAGGGAACCAGCAGTGGCTGCTAAAGACCCAGGGTAGAGAGACTGGTATGGTGCCCTGCCTTCTCCAGTGTTTATGACATGGGGACATGCCAGCCTCACTTCACTCTGTCTAAGGGCTGGTTGTATCAATGCCACCTCCAGGTCAAGCAGGGCTCCTCTTCTTTCTTTTTAAAAGTATATATTTGCTGGACAGTGGCAACACACGCCTTTAATTCCAGTACTCGGGAGGTAGAGGCAGGCTGATCTCTGTGAGTTTGAGGCCAACCTGGTCTACAAATTGAATCCCAGGACAGCTGGGGCTGTGACACTGAGAAATCCTGTCTTAAAAACAAAACAAAACAACAACAAAAAGAATATGTATGGGTGTATTATGTCTGTGGACTACATATGTGTGTCCCTGGTGCCTGTGGAGAGCAACAGAGGGCACCGGACCCCTGAGATTACAGACAGTACTGAGCTACCTTTTGGTGCTGGAAACCAAATCCAGGTCCTCTGTAAGATCAGCTGACTCTCCAGCTCCCCCATGTTTTGACACAGGATGTCTGGCCTAGAGTTACCACAAACTAAACTTAAAACTTCAACATTTGAAAACTCTGCCTTCACCTCTCAAGGGCTGGGATTACAGATGTGCACCACCACCTGGTTTTCTTGCTTCTTTGTTTTCTGGTTTTCCAAGACAGCGTTTCTCTTTGTAGCCATGGCTATCCTAGGGCTTACTTTGTA